CATATTCTGATTAAATATTTATATATGTTCATTCTATATTGAGTAGTTCACTGTGTTATTAATATTTTGTGTTGTTACACTGAAACTTTTTTGTATATTAGTGACTTTCCCGTTTTTACATCCATCACCATTAAGATAACAACTTTTAAAATGTTATTTTGGTATACATTAGACATATATATATATATATATACATGTTCTTTGTATCAAACCAAAGCACCAACACGTACTTCCACATATGAAAGTAATTCCGAGTTAAAAAGTATTTCATTTTTTCACTTTTTTATTTAGATATTGTTCTGAACCACTAACTGCACATTGTATAAATTTAAAGTACAATACAAATTTTTGGTTAATTTCATAGTTTTATGATGCTTTAAAAACAAAATGACATGAAACTATTTAAATTACTACATAAAGATCTAAAAAAAGAAAATATATTACAAAAATTTCCTAAAGTAAAATAGAGTACCAAATTCTTAAACAAAGTTTTTTGACCCACAATGATAAGTATTTAAAAAATGCAAGTTGTCATCACAGACAGTGCTACATTAGAACAATTCTGTCTAAACTCTATCTTATTAGAAAGTTTACCCCTGAAAAAGAAAGGTCCACCTTTTGAAGGTTATACATTGTATATTATGACCCTATTATTTTTAATATATACTTTCAATGCTTTTTTATACAAAAGTGTACAAAATAAAGGTAAATTATGTTTTTATACAAAAATTACTAATGGGTTACTGTTCGTATTCATATTACTTTCTAAGCAACTGCGTTTATTTCAAATACGTACTTTATATGCAACCTGTAATCAAATTGTTTTCCTGCCCTAAATGTCAGTCATGTGATTGATTATAACGATTTCATCTTCACATCTGTAAATTTTCAATCACTAATAGTTTACCATTCACCACATCTACCATTAGCTCTAGAATACTACACGCGGAGTTGGAAATTCCCCATCTGAACAAACAGACGAATGAGAGAGAAATCAATAAGGTTTCTGGACAAGTACGTTAGAACTTTGTTAGGGGAAATGCTCTTATAACTGTTATTCTGTAGGTTTCCCATGACTTAAAACATCGGTACAAAATTACCAACGATCCAGTAAGCATGTGCTAGTCACCCACTAATGCAATGAAAAAGTCCGGGAAAGAGTAACTTCATTTAAACATGGATACAACCTCAAATTACCCGCCTCGTATATAAAACTTGTGAGACAATGGTTGATTAATGTGTGGATATATATTTCAATCGAACAATGCGTGAAATACATCAGTATTAGAGAATAATCAATTTTTACTCGAGACTCATAGCTAAAGTCAAATATTTGTTAATAAACATTGACAAAATGAATCAATGACTATGTTGCATTAATGTAAGTTAAATAGCATTGCTAATGATTATTGTTGCGGATTAAGGACAATAACAACATATTGACGGATAAGTAAAGATTATTATCTCCATTACTGTGTATTAAGGCAAATAAATAAGCTTTTAATCCTCGTTGATATGTATTAAGTGTAATTCAAATAATGTGGCAATATTACCGTACACCATTACATACACAGAAGTGTTGCGAAACGAATCATTTCTGATAATTCAAGTTTTGTACAAAAAAGATGCAAGGTCGTCAAACTTCGCATACATGTTCTCTTATATCGTTCTTCACTTTGTTTTAAGTCGGGTAACTTGTCCTCGGGAAAAATGTGAAACAATTATAATTATTATAATTTTCAACGTCTACTAAGAAACTCAACCCATGGGTCGCAACCCAAAATTAGGTCATCAAAATTGTGAAAGGGTCTCACAATGCAGTCTTGTGCAGGGGAAACCAATTTGTTTCACACGGCTTACCCCAGTACACGTAAACCTACAGCAACAAAGGTTGTGGTTGTTTCAACTGAGTTAAGCAATTACGTCACGGCTTGCTGAAACCGGCAAATGTCAACGATGTAAGCATAACCCTGTCCACAATATCTTCATAGCTTCAATAAACATTTACTTATACACAAGTTTCACAGATATTTATAAGTGAAACAACTTTTAATGACAAAATAAACTAAAAATAAAACTGACCGATGGTGATCGGGCACTACTACAATACTAACATCTTTAAGATTTTGAAAAATATATTTACAAAAGGTTTCATTGGTCTTTGATAGACAAATATTCCTAATTTCTTTAGAAAACACACACTAGAAAAAAATCGCAAGATGTGGAAAAATAACGAGAAAAAAAACCCAAAAAATTCAAATTGATAAAACAGGCGTCTATAAAAAAAACTTTATTTTTATTTGCAAAAGTGAGAGGAATTTGAAAGACTGTCTAGTACAGCGTTTCCCAAACTATGGGTCGCAAGCGGAATGTTAGTGGGTTGTAAAAAGTTATACTAGAATTACGCATTAGCTTCGATTAAACGCTGTCTGTCGAGATAGTTCAAGACTCGGGCTTTCATTGCCAGGCTGTTGTTGTATGTTGTTTTGACGAGCTAAACGAATCAGGATTGATCATGCTCTCAAT